TCTCTCATTGAAGTGTTTTGTTGTGTGTTATTTTTTTTTTTTTAATATCTGTGAAATAATTTAGTACTTTTCCCTGTCCTCACAGATTTTTAAATGCTACTTCCAAAATGTAAAGCCTGGAACATACATGGTTCCATCCTCCATCCACCATGTTCCATTGCAAACTTCCTAACGCTGTAGATGAAAGGTAACGTTTTCACTACTGTTACTCCTTATTTCCCAATATACACATTCAAGGACTGTATTTATTCTTTCAGCTATAGCACCATGTTGTTGTGTCTGCGCCCAGATACGATGAAAGCAACCAAACTTCAGTTTATCACAGACATGACCACGTGCTCTCACCTTATATCTAGAACTAGATAGTTGCCAGCCCATGTCTAGAATTAGCAGAAATTGTGCATAAAGAGTTTTGTTGCATTCAGTGTGGTATTGCCACGCCATTATCTCCTGATCTGTAGAGCATTAGTGACAGACATCACATCAGCCCTAGAGTTTTTCCCAGAGGTATTGTAATCACTCAAAACTTGTTTCCAACACTTCTTTTTTTGTTGGACTTTCTTTTCTCTAAGACATATTGGAGCTAGATTTTGCTTTTGTGGGAGTGTTATTTCCTTTTTGCTGTGAGAACTCCTGAGAGACCCTGCTCCTCCCTATTTCTGAGGAGTCTAAACTGGTAGGAACTCAAAAAGATCGTTTCCTTTTTAGGGAGCGTTTGCCTCTACGGATATTGCTGTAAGGAAACCTTTTCTCTGGTCCTGATGACTGTTTAGAACTTGTATATTTTTAGTTTGGATTTGCTAGTTCTAATATTGATTTAATCAGGCTTTTGATAATATTTTTATCATGACTTACTTCCTCTCTCTCTTCCTCACTGCCCAAACACACACAGCCTTTTCTTCCTCAGAGCTTCTGGTGAGAAATTGCTGCTCACATGTGCCTTGTGTGGTCTATAATCATAAGCTGCATTTCTTAATTTTTTTTCCTTTATGGTTTTATGAAAATTTTGTAGTTATGAGATAGAAACATGTACCTCTGTTACATGTTGTGAGAAAATTACAGGACCTTGAAAGGTCATAAGGAAGCTGCATAGACAACTTGAGTGTGAATGCAATACAAAAGACATACATCCAGCAGTCAGGGCAAGACACTAGGACTGTATTGTAACCTCAGTTTTGAGCACTCCTAATTTTAAAAAAGGGGAAAAAAAAGAATTATTCTTCCCGCTATATTTCTTCAGGTGGCACATTGAAAGACAATTGTCTTTTTTTCTTACAAGTAGGAGGTTAATGGTTAAAATTTAGAGATAAAATAGGATCCAAGAATTCAATTGGTGCAAGCCTTTTCAGAAAAATGGCATCTTTATGCTGCAGATGTTTTCCCCATTTACAAAGAGAACATTTTTTCCTCCAGATTTCACACATCTAATCAATGAGCAGGAGTGTAACAGACCATTTTTATACATATGCAAACCACTCTACACTTGACTCTGCCTCCTACAAGATTTTGCCTTGTGATCTGAGCTGGATGTCTTCATACTGGCGAGTTCTACTTTTAAGTCATCGTTTAGTTTTTAAAATAAATACAAGGGATGTTTTTTCTCTTTTGATGATCCTGCCTCTTTGGATGCCTTAATCATCTCAATCAGATGACGTCCATATCCCAAGGGAATTCTCTACTGAAGTAAAATTTGGCAGTACAAGTTTTTTCCAAAAGCATTTCCTGGACTAAGGTAGGGCAGAATGGCATTCTGTCATTTCTGAACTGGTGTGTCTCTTGGGGAGGACAGCCTGCTTATGTAAATTAGAGTTGCTTATGATAGGGAAAGCACTGCTTTTATTTACCCTGAGACTTAGAGCAGTTTCCATTTGTAAACTGCAGAGCAGTAACCCGGTTCCTCCCACATGCACGTATTCCCCAGAGAAAGTGAGTCTTGCTAGAGCACAAGGTATGGGTCAAAGGCTATTGGCACTGCACAAAAAAAAATAAAGAGACAACAATGCAATACAAGCATTTAATTGGATTTTATCAGAAGGACTGCCAAATGAATGCAGGAAACTTTACCTGCAGATCTTCATTACAGTTTCTCTGTCAGAAAAACTACGCCTTCTTATCTGTGCTGTTACTTGAGCAATGTCTCACAATATCTGAGGTTGGGGCCACACATCCAGGATATTGTAATTGTGTCATTGCCAAGTCTGTAAATACAGTTCATGTTTGTTGGCAGCTCCTCTGTTCATTAACATTACATCATCCCTAGACCAAGCCCATGATAATGAAAACAGTTTCAGTCCAAGTAATTCAGCTTTTGACTTAAAAGTCCCCCGTATAAAAAGTGACATTAGCCCACAGATACCATGTACTGTAAACAGATTGCTTCCTTTTCCGCTACCTATCCTGTTTCTGAGTTGAAAAAAGTGCTAAAACTAAGTTTGTTTTAAACCAAATGTGTTTGTTAGGGGGTCAGATTCTTCCAAATCAGCACAGCTATCAAGAATCTTCTGTGATTCTGTAACTTCTGAATGTTCTGTGTTGTTAGAACAGCAATACAACTCTTTGATCGTTGTAGATAAAAAAAGAATGGAGAAGTAGTTCAGTATTGTATTTCCATCAGCTCTATTCACCATCTTCCTGTTTTATACTAAATCTACGACCTTTTAACTCAGATCAGTCATGTTGCTCAATAATGGGAAGGGTCCACAACTTCTCTGAATTGTTTTTTCAGCTTCATCTTTGTGTAATGACTGTTTTTGGTTTTCAGCTAGACAAAGGTGCTGAGATTGCTGGAGTGGTCATTGCTGTCATTGACAAAAGTCCTCCAACTCTCTTTCAGCTTTTCTTCAGCTTCCCTGTAGAGTTCCTTGTTGCCTTAAATGCATGTGATACTTTGAAGTCCTGTTCATGCTCAGCATAAAATTCAACATATTTTTGATGGTTAGCTTTAGATATACCAGCAGATAATTTTCTTCAGAATTCTGCTGTTTGCCATTAGGAAGCCATAGCATCAGTCCTTCTTTCTCCTTGTGATTCCTCAGGAGGATGCTAATACATGTGTTTGTTACGACTGCAGTGGCTGGCAGCTTCTATCTCAATAACATTTCAGTGTCAAGTCACTTCTCAGCCAAGCAGATATCTGAATATGAGGAAAGGTGTGATAACTGTGCTTAGGAGGGTGTCACCCTTTTTTTTTCTGTTTTCACTTGCTGAGAAAAATTGAAAAGATCACTTTTTTCTGGTTGCTGTTTTAATGACTTCGATATTCTAAATGGTGATTCTCCTCTGAGGCATAATGCAGGAAATATATCTCACCATACAGAGATATTATTAGTATTACAGTTACTGGTTTTGACCTCTTACGTTTAGTCACCCACACTTTTAATTTTTGGTGGCATTCTCTTTCATTCTTCCTTTATAATTTCACTTGCAAAATCAAGCTGTAGACTGAGAGCTTGAAACTATCTGATGCTATTCATTCCTTCTTGTAGAGGGGGAACATAAGTAAAAGTGGTGTCAAAAGTGAGGTGTCAGTTACAGTAGTTGCTCTCGAAGAAAGCTGATTATCAGGGCTCTGGAATGCCTGGAGCAAAAAGAAGATTAATCTCGGTGTCTAAAGCATAATAAAATAGTATAAAAAATGGTTAAATAGTGAATTCAGTACTGTGAAGGCTTGATGACAAACATAATCACATCAATAGGGATGCTTCCCAGTTTAAGTTAATAATGAATCTATAAATCTTTCACAGACACACCTCGTGTACACACAGATCACTGCATTTCTTCTTGTCTGTTTATAGCTGCAGAAAAATCAGTAAAACCTGACCTACAGAGTCTGTGTCTGGACAGCAGGAAATTTGCCAGTAAGACTATCCAAAGTTCATACAATGTCATAGAAAGTTCCTCAGTGCCAGATTTTTGAACACCCAGATGAGGAATACAAAGTTTGTGAAATCTGCTTATTCTAGTAAGCAGTATTCAAATGCTATTAAAACCTTATCATGGTCTCCAAGTCTCAAATGCCCAGAAATCAAATATCACCATTGATTCAATCTGACTGAATATGATCAAATGTAGAAAGCAACTTCACAGGGCAAGTCCACAAAATAAAAACCCATAAGAAGACTGATACTACCATTTAAGTAAAGTTTGCATGTGCAGGTATGGGCTTCTAGGTTTCATGTATGTGTCAGGGGTTTCCAGACAATGTCGCTTACCAATTATGCTTTCAGTAATTAAAAAAAAAAAAAAATCAGAAAGTTCGATTTTCTAATATTAATTTAATAAGATAAACAAATCATCTCTGCTGAAACGAGTCACAATGCATATTTTACATAGAAATTAGTGTTCCTTGAGAACTGTGAAAAAACTGCTAATGGGGATTTGAATGGAAATTAATAACCTCCTTAAACATAGAGCTGCAGATACTTATTAAATGAAATTAAGTATATTTGGACAATTTTCATGTGTCATTCATCAAAGCCTAAATCGAGCCTGGGAAATTCATAAATGAACATGAGGCAAACAAATGGCACTTTTTTAAATTCTAAAAACTACATTTGTGAAATGAAGGTACAACTGGGTGGTGATTGTGCTGACGGGGACTAACCTACTTACAGCCATGCCCTGTAGCCTGCTGTTTCCCAGAAGAGACTTCATGTTCTAATTATCTATTGTGATTTTTTGCTTTTTTCTACTGTTTGTTAACAGAAGCTATAAATCTTTCAGACATATGAAATCTGATTTACACCTTGCTAATGCATTACAGCTACATATGCTGCTACATACGCTGCTACATACATGTGAAATTGCTTGTCCTAACAACAGGAAAAGTCCTTTAATATGTTTTGGAAACAATTAGAATTATTAGCATACTTATAGTCCCTTTGAGATACTCTAGATATCCTTTTAAAGCAAACGTAACTCTAATAGTCCCAAACTTCTGAGAGAACAGAGAATGTATCGATTTTAAAACTAATCAGCTTTTTACACTTTCTTTTAAACAGGGGGAATGCATGTAAGGAGCAGTGATAAGAAGAATACTTGGCAAAGGTCATGCAAAGACAAACTTGACTAGTGGGGAATCGCCTTCCAGAATCGATTGCAACCGCAGCCTTCCACTGAAATAGTTGCACAAGGTGAATACATTGTTATAATACTCCTGAGTATCTGCCTTTTAAGGACATTTTTCCTCATCACCCAGCACAGAGTAGGGACCAGTTGTCACGAGAAGGATGCAGTGTCTGCAAACTGATTAAAGTTTTTGCATAGCTACAGGGGAAACAGAATTGCTTTTTAGTCTGTTGTGGTGCTTATCGGGGCGACCCCCGTCCCACCAAGAGAGCTCAGGTTTTCGGGGGCTGAGCTACCGCAGTTAGCCCCAGGCAGCGGGAGCCCGCAGAGCCGCAGGGTGGATCCCCCAGGGAAAGCAGAAGCGGAGGTTTAGCCCCGGAAACCAGAGACGGCCCCGCCTGCGAGAGCAGCGGCTCCCGATATTAAGCCGGAGAAGTTGAGGGGAAAGGGGCGGAGGGCGAGCAGAGGCCGGCGCGGATGCTGAGTGCTGTTGTGTGTCCCCCGCAGGTGATGGCCGCCCCGCCGCGGCCGGCAGCGCTCCGCACGGGCTCGGCGCGGCGCCGCCAAAGGTAGCGCGGCTCCATGGAAGGCTCCATGGAGGGCAGCGCGGCCCCGGAGGAGGAGGAGAGCGGGGTCGCGAACGGGGCCCCCCCGCCGCCGCCGCCTCCCACCCCGGCCGCCCCTTGCGGCTTCAGCTCCTCCCTCTGCTTCAGCGCCGCCGCCGCCGAGCCGCAGCCGCCCGCGGCCGGCGGCCGGGTGGTGCAGAGCCAGTGGGAGATCAACAACGCCGCCTGCCAGCCGGAGGAGGACGATGAGGAGGTGGTGGGGCCGCGGGACCGGCCGGCGGAGGAGCCCGACCTTGTGATCGAGGTGTCGGGGCGTCGCATTCGGGCGCACAAGTCGGTGCTGGCGGCCAAGAGTGACTACTTTCGTGCCCGCGCCTCCCGGGACGTCCTGCGGGTGAAGGGGGTGAGCTACGGGGCGCTGCGGCTTCTCATCGACTACGTGTACACGGCCCGCATGGGAGAGGTGCGGCACGACAACCTGGCGGAGGTGGTGAGCGGCGCCCGCGTCCTGCAGATGCCGTGTGCCCTGCACTGTGCCGCCGAGGCCATGCGCGCCCAGCTCTGCCTCGGCAACTGCTACCAGCTCCTCTGCCTGGCCAAGAAGCAGCGGCTGGCGGAGCTGCGGGAGGCTGCCTATCGCTTCATGAGCGACCATTACCTGGAGGTGCTGCGGGAGCCCAGCGTGTATGGCCGCCTCAGCGGCACTGAGCGGGACCTCATCCTGCAGCGGCGCATGGAGGCCGGCCGGCCCTGCCTGCTGGTGGCCGAGGTCAGCGATGCCTTCGAGCGGCCGGGTGGCGGCAGCCGGCCACAGAGCCGCGAAAGCAGCCGGCCGCAAAGCCCCTCCTCCGTGGTGTCCCTGGAGGAGAGCGGCTCCCTCATCCACTGCTACCAGGAGGCCAGCGGCGAGTGGAGGGTGCTGACACGCCTGCCCGAGGAGGCCAATGCCAAGGGCTGTGCCATGTGTGTCCTCCACAACTACCTCTTCCTTGCAGGGGGTATCGTGACAGGGCCGGTGGGCAGTGAGCCCAGGGCCCGCCTTTCCGACAAGGTCTTCTGCTACAACCCCCTCACTGACACCTGGAGCCAGGTGCGGCCGCTGGCCCAGCCCCGCTCGCAGCTCAAGCTGCTGGCCCTGGATGGTTACCTGTACGCTGTGGGGGGTGAGTGCCTCTTCACTGTGGAGAGGTACGACCCGCGGGCCGACCGCTGGAGCCCTGTGGCACCACTGCCCAAGGGTGCCTTCGCTGTGGCTCATGAGGCCACCACTTGCAACGGGGAGATCTATGTGTCAGGAGGCTCCCTCTTCTACCGCCTGCTCAAGTATGACCCCAAACGTGACGAGTGGCAGGAGTGCCCTTACAACAGCAGCCGCCGGCGCTCAGCAGACATGGTGGCCTTCAAGAGCTTCATCTACCGCTTTGATGTGAGCAGTGGCCGTGGTGGGGAGCCGGGCCCAGGTGGTGGGACTGCTGGTGGTGTCGAAGTTTTCCGGTACAACACAGTGGCTAAGTGCTGGAGCCAGTGTGCCAGCTTGCGGCCCAGCGGCGGCCCCATCCAGCCCTTCCGCTGTGCCCCCTTGGGCAACACCATCTACTGCGTCAACCGGACCGGCACCCTTCGCTTCAGCCTAGCCCAGGACGGAGAGGTGGAAGCAGATGGTGGGCTCAAGGGCACTTTTGATGGGGAGCTTCTCAAAGCTCCCTTGGATGTCAAAGGTGTTCTCCTACCCTTTGTGCTTACCCTGCCTGAGAGGCTGGACAAAGCAGGGGACCAGGAGGGCTCCCTCCCACTGTGAGGTGGTCAGCCTGGCTCTGGCTTCCTGAGAGGGGACCTAGGTTGCAGCTGTGGGAGACCCACAAACTCCCACCTAACAGAGGGGATTCACCCTGGTGAGTCTGCAGAGAAAAGAGGCTCCCCCTTTCCTCCTCTCTGCTCCCAAGATTTTGAGCCGGTTGTAACTCTTCTCATGTTTGCTGTGCTTTGTTTGAAAAGCCAAGCACATGAAAGTAAAAGCTGCTATATTGGATAATCTCTGGATTACGTTTGTGCCAATTCCCAATCTGAGAAAAACGGTTTTACACCTGGATATCTAAAATATTCCTGACTACAGTGTCATAATGGGACGTTAGTGTTGGTTGTGTGTTTACACATAGTTGCAATCTGGGCTGGAGCCTTTTCTGCTATTTGGGGTTTTTCCCTCTGGGATGATACCAAGGGATAAACTGCTGGCAACATAGTTTAGCTGAATTTGTTTTTATGTTAAACCAGCTATTTCCTGTGTCAAAAAAGTATAGGAAGAACATCTTCATCACAGCCTTTCATTTCTGGTGCAATAGATGGTTTAAGGAAGATGTGGCACTGTGTGGTCCCTGAAATTTCAACCACAGATGATTTAACACATACCAGACTTAAAGTAACAGAAATGAGTGCCACATGTTATACTTAGAATACAAAAAACCCCCAAACAACAAGTTACCTTTTTAAAATGTGGCATATTATAGCACATATGAAATGTTGACGTGTTCTTTATTTGAAAAAAGGAATGGTTTCTATATGAAAAGACATTTTATTACTTTTTTTAATCAGAGATTTTAAATTATAACAAAAACGAACTGAAGCTGTTCAGACTGCAGCCGATTGATGTGACCATGTATGCCACTAGAGCTGGGGAAAAACTTTGTACTTCAGCTGCTCTTTAATTAACTGCAGGTCAAGGAAGGTTAACCTAAACCAAATGTAAGTTCTTTGAAACTGACTGCAAACAGCTTAAATGTTTCACTGTATGTTCAGTATCCTGTGGCAAGAGGCTTTTCCAGCTTGGTTCAAGATCATCAAAGGAGGACATGGAAAATAGGAATGCGCAACACATGTTGATTATATTGTGCACTAGCATGTTGTTACCTCCCTATCTTTTGACTGAGAGACTGCTTTATTTATTTTGATCTCATGATTGCTGTAATCAATAAGTTCTTGTTAATTGCAGTACGTGCTGATGGCGTACTCTGTCATTGTGATTTTAAGTTGCCCAGGAGAGCTGTTTGTGGAGCAGCATCCTAATGAGACAAAACCATACAAAGCTCCTTCTTGCCTGTGGAAAGTTGTAGTATACTTTTTGTCATGTTACTCAGAACTGGAAAAGAGTAAATTGTCTACACAGACAGACTATATTGAAAAAGACACATGCATTTATTTTATACATTTTATAATGAAAAAAAAATCAGCAGGCAAGGCAAATGTTTTAGCTTTTTGGTAAATCACTGAGAAACCTTTTCTGAAAAGAGGAACTCGTGTTTTTGCTGGTACATCACTGTATACTCAGTGTGGAACTGGCATGGACTGTGGAAGAGAATTGTTTATACTCAAAGTTCTTGTATAGATTCATATTTTAGAAAGACATAGGGATCTTACATCAAAGAAAGCAGATTTTTTTATGTTTTATTAAGATGTTTTTGTTAAACAGGACTTTAGCCTTCTTATATGTAATTGCTAGTTCCAAAGGAAGACAGCAGGCTCTGTCCTAAGAGACACCATCTTTACAAAAGAGAGTAGTGAAGTTTGTAGATACTTCTTTCCTTCACCTAAATGTTCTTGGTTTTTTTTTTTTTTTTTTTTTTCTCCATCTGTCTTGCACAGGGTTTTAATGCAGTTGATCTGGTTAGCCATGCAATAGAAAACAGTGGTCCAGTCCTAGAAGTTCTTAGCCAAGTGAGCCTATTCCCTAGTGAACTAATTAAAGCATCAGCCAGGCAGGAGCTGTAGGCCTGCAGAGTGTGATGTTTATCTTAGCCTCAGTATAGGTTGGTGCCGTGGAATTTAATACCATTCACGGAGTGTTGGATTTACTTCTCAGACAAGAATCCTTGGAAATGTTGACTCTAAATTAAATTACAGCATTGTGGCTTGAGCAGGAAAGAAAAAGTATGTGTTTGCCTTTGGCATAATTTTTATGTTAACTATAGAAAGTATTTCAAGCTGGGTAGTGAAACACTTGGGTGCATTCTTAAACTTATCATAAGTGCTAGGCCAGATTTTGAAATAGTAGAGTCACTAGAACACACACAAGGAAATGACTGTTTTATCTTGCAATACAGTACGATTTCATAGTTCAAAGTATTACGTAGTATAGTTCCTATACTACTGCATAGCAAGGCATTAAACCAGCTTTTGCATTCCTATTAAGCATTAATTAAGCACTTTTATTCCTGCTAATGCATGAAAATGCTTTTAAATGAGTTTTGGGAAGTCTCCATGATTTAAGCTGTGAAAGTAGCTGCAGACTTTCGTGAAAGAATGAACCATATCCTTTCTTCCAGTATTTGTTGTTGAACACTATGAAGAAAGACATTTGGAAATAAGTTTTACAGTAATAAGCATTCAATGAACCTGCAATGATTTGTATTTTTGCTAGTTCCTATTTTTAGAAAAGGTTGAATCAAGTGCTTACCCGCTTTCACTGTTTACACTGTGTCACTGGGGGCAGTCTGGGCTTCATTAGCAGCTGTCTATCAAACCTATTTCCTTTGTACACTCTGCCTAGCCACAGCCCAATGATTGACAACAGAGGCATGTTTGTAGCCAGATTTCCTACTCTGTGGCCTCTGTTTCCTCCCTGGTACACGTGAGGCAGGTTTACTGCGAGTTGTTTTTTCCCCCAATTACTTCTTCACCTAAACAACCCCCCGAAACTTGGGCACAAAAACCGGAATTTAGGTAATCTTCGAGCATTTGAAGACCAAAATTGTCATCCCAGAACTCTTCAGTTTAATTCAAACCTAGCCACAACTGTCCCTTTGACATGCAGAAGGGCTGAGCAGTTCTTCTCCACCCACTTGGAACTACCCACCTCAGAGCAGTTCCACACCTACATACTGACCACCTCAGCTCCTTTGAAACTAGATGATGGGATACCCAGAAGCCACTGATCTGTTAGGGTTTTATGGTACAATATAAAGGGCCAGGCCACCCTCAAGTGTCGTATGTTTTGCTTTAAAGACAGAGCTGTTTTATCTAGAGTAGCCTGAAGGCTACTGTATTTTCATGGGAACATGGAGATCTGTGTGTGCTTTCTTAGCCTGCAAGCATTCAATCTACATCTCCCACTGCCTCATGGTCAATGGGCTAAAGGACTTCTTGGAACTAATCCCTGATCTCTAAATATCTGTGCATTTTGTATGTTAATTGGCTAAAAAATCTCACAAATTATCAAGGTGGATAAATTCAAACCCTCATCCTCACTGAGGGATTGGATACTAGCCAGAGAGACATAGTCTGTTCTGTCGTCTTTCTTCTCCATGAATCTTCTAGTCCTCCCATTTTAGTGGGACGTGCAGAAGATAATTTTTCTGATTTAATTTTTCAGGCAAAAATTTTTCCTTCCTAGAATACTCCTTTTTTCAAGGTCATCTGCTTGAGGATTTAGGCTTGAATTCCCATAAGCTGAGTAAGGGCTAACCTGAGGCCTTGCCCTTCATGTGTGTGTGTGCATGCGTGTGCATTCTCTAGATGGCTGTTGAGAAGAAGGCTCTTTTTCAGGGGTGAGCTTCTTGCAAATCCTCCAAAAGCACACATGGGCTCCTGCACATTGTGTTCTGGGTAAATTCCAGGCTCCAGCTCTTGGAAGGGTAAATCAGGACAAATGTGGTAAATGTTTGTACAATTGGGGAAGTTTTCTTTGGAAAGCTTTTCCAGACAGGCTCTGTATTTTGGGTTACCAGTCCAAGGTGAGCTACTTCATGTACTGTACTGGGAGGCCAAGCAGGTAATTTGAATTCTCAGGGGTGCCGTCTCAGTAAAGAGGCATGTAGTGCCTGACATGGAAATGCCTAAAGCCTTCATTGAATCTAAAACTAAATCCCAACTTCAATAAAGAAATGCTAATAACAGATGGAACTTTACTCTTTCCATCTATTAACTAGTTCTGTAAAAAGAAATCATTACTTGCAGCAAAGGCACGTGTAAAATTTCTGTTCACATTTGGAAACTAAGTCAAAAAATAACTGGCAAAAGAATAACCCTATTTGATCAAAACCAACACTGTTAAACAACACGGGAAGGATGCTAATCATACCCTAGTAATTAATAAAATTGTGCAGTAGCTGATGTAAATTCTGTCCACAAAAAGTTTCTTTGTAAATAAGTACCTGGTAAAATTTAAATTGATAAAAGAATAAATTATTCACATGAAAGCCGTAACTCTCCTGTGCTGTTTGATTGGCTCTCAGTGTTGTATCCCAATTACCACTGTTCATGAGTGGCTATTGCTTTTCCTGATTTACAGTGTACATTCCATTGACTGCTCCATAGATGTGTTACCCTTCATTATCGCCAAGCTTAACAGCAGTGCCAGTGCTTTGTGTCTGGAGTGATGTGTAGTGTTTTCTACTTGAATGAACCCAGAAGATTTAGACTGAATCGTATCTTTGGGCTTTTTTTTTTTTTTTTTCCCATTAGTGTTGCCCCATGGAAACTTAAGAAAGCACAAGAGGAAATGGTGATACTGTTGAGCAGTTGTAGTAACAAGGATTTTATTAATTTCTTTTTTGTCTGTTATTGTTCCATGCACCAGATTTGCTCTGGGTTTAACAGAACAGCTCTGTGTGGCTGTTATCAATATGTCTGAGTTCTGTTGTAGCAAAGTACGTTTTTACATATTTGCTGCCTCAACTCTTACTCCAAGATAATGTAATGCAAGTTTGTAATAGTTCCACACATTTACTAGATTACCGTAACTATTCTGACTTCATATTACTGCTTCTAAAAGCAGAGATTGACACACAAGCTCAGTAAAATTCTGCACTCAGAGCATATAATCAAACACTTTTCATTTGCTTTGGCCTTTTGAATGCTGAGAGCTGCTGGAATGAACCCATTGCTATTAGGAATCAACAGGATTACTGGTTTTGGTTGGGATAGTTAATTTTCCTCACACTAGCTGTTATGGGGCAGTGTTTTGGTTTTGTGCTGAAAACAGGGTTGATGATACAGGGGTGTTTTTGTTATTGCTGGGCAGCTCTCATAGCATCAAGGCCTTTTCTGATCCTCACCCCACCCCACTAGTGAGGAGACTGGTGGTACACAAGGACTTGTGAGGGGACACATCTGGGACTGCTGATTGCAACTGACCAAAGGGATATCCCAGGATCAGCATGTTGTCATGCTCAGCATATGAAGCTGGGGGAAGAAGAAGGAAGTGGGAGACATTCAGAGTGATGGTATTTGTCTTCCTGAGTCATTGCTATGGAGCTATGGGGCTTTCCCCCAGAAAGCTCTGCTTTCCTGAGGATGGCTGAACACCTGCCTGCCCATGGGAAACAGTGAATAAATTCCTTGTTTTGCTTTGCTTGTGGCTGCAGCTTTTGCTTTACCTATTAAACTGTCTGTATCTCAACCCATGAGTTTTCTCATTTTCCCCCTTCTGATTCTCTCCCCCAAACCACTGAGAGGACTGAGTGGCTACGTGGGGCTGAGCTGCCCGCTGGTGTTAAACCACAACAGCAGGATATTTTGGAGACTCCCAAACTCATAAATTACTCAATGGGAAGAAATGGGGCTGTGAGACAGTGGGATAGGAGGGAAGAGATGAATTTGGAGTCAAAAGTATCTACTGTATATCTGGTTGAAACAAATACCAGGGAAGGGAAACCAGAATTGGTACTTGAGACAGTGATGACTACAGGGCCAGGGTTTTTCCGAGTATTTCTTAAACAGGCTGAGTTTCTACCAATTACATTGGTAGTTTTATAATAGTCTTATAATTTTACACCTGCAATGCTTCTCAAACCATCACAATAAACCACCACATAAGCTACCTTTTGCAGGAGGTTCTTGCTTTGCTTTTAAGCCTTAGTGGATTAACCTTGGAGAAATTTGTGAAATCATGAAATAACAATGTCAATGCTACCACTTTCACAGATTAACTAATGCAAATGCTTTAGACACTGTTCACACCTCAGGTGAATTATGTGTGTAACTGATGTATTAATAGTTTCATTTTTGACATATATATAGGTAAAGCTTTTTATGTACTCCAACTTATGTTGTAATGAAATAAATACTTAAAAAAACCCACTTATGCTCCCCCTTAGGCATTTCTGGGTAATTGTTGTTTTTCTTTGTCATCCATCCGATCAGTAAATGGTATTATATTTGTTCTTATAAAGCAAAGACAAAATTATATGGGCTATGGCACAGATAAATATTTAGGAAATG